AACCAGAACCTTAAAAAACCGATGATGGACCATGAAATTACATATATATCCTCAAAAATCACAGTCAACAAACGGTCAAATAGACAAAGGACCAAATTGTGTTAAAATTACAAAGTTAAGGACTTAATTGGTTGAAATTGAAAGTCGATGACCAATTTGTGAATTTAGCTATAGTCGAGGGAGCATTTTGGGTATTTACTCCTAATTCAATGTAGAGCATGTAACCTCCTATAACAATTATTAATTGATTTTTATTTGTTAAGTACTCTAATACTGATTTTTAGTATAATATGAATTTTACAACTATGAATTTTACGGCTTAAAAAAAAATTATATACAATTATTTTTATAAAAAAAAAATAATGTAATATAACTATATATTATTTTCTAATATTGAGAATTTATGAAAATAACTTTAATCAAGTTGGCCCCCAAGACTTGAACCATAACCTCTCATTTGAGAGAATCACTTCATGTCACTTGACCACAAGATCATTAGACACCAATTTTGATTATAAATGTCCAAATAGTTGGAATATTTAATCAATTTCCACCTTGATGGATTTAATTAACCAGGTAGTCCAAATTAACAAACCCGATAAATAAGGGATATATCAAATGGACAAGGTAATTAACTGGCAAACAACAAGATAGACGAATGTCGCAGGGAAAATATCGTATTGATAATGAATTGATTACATCGGGTGTAATATCATTATAAGAGGAGACTAAGACAAAGATTATTGATATGATCATATATGTCCTAAAAGGACAAAATGGACGCCTTTTATACCTAGGGGGACCCGTAACCGTCCCCCTAAAGAGGAGGGGACAGTTACAACTGTCTTTAACCACACTCGGGGCCCAGATAGGTCGGCTGGGACCTTGGCCGTAGAGCTGTCCAAACGGGCTTTACACGCTGAGCCGTCCCGTCCCGTCCCCTACTTAGGTAGGGGTGGGTTTCGAAAATAGCAGCCCGCCAAGGAGTGCCTCTTTTTGCCCGCCCCGCTTACGCCCGCGAGCTGCCGGCCACATATTTAAAAAAATTATATATATATATATATATATATATAATATTTTACTGTCCAAGAAAAATCTGTTTGGCACAGTAGAAAAAATAAATTTGGAAAAAATACTTCATGGACTCCTTTTTGCTTGAAATATTTTTTAGAGAACCTACACTTATATAATTAACTTGATATCCAAAAAAAAGTTTGGGTTGAAAACATATCCAGTAATCACAGAAAATTTCGAAAATTTTTGGCAGTGTACTATCCAGAAAATTTCTACCTGATGCAGTTTAAGAGAAAAATTCAAAAAAAAAATTACTTCTAGTCCTTGGAATGATATGAAAATTTTTGTGTATGTTCTAGACTTGCTGAACTTCATATCTGGAAAATTTGTATTAAAATTCATTATCAAATACTCTCAGAAAATTTCACAATCTAGGTAAAAATTTCTAAATTTTCTGCTAGTTCTAGTTTCTTGTGTGTGTGTGTGTGTATATATATATATATATATATATATATATATATATATATATATATATATATATATATAATATTTTTATAAAATCTAATTATAACCTAATAAGTAATAACCATAACCCTAATTTAATATTTTAAAATTTTAGACTATGGACTTTATAATTATTGTTATGTATTATGTAATGTCTAATGTTTGATAAACTATGTCTTATATTAGTTATTTTACAAGTTATTTTAATTATTTTAGAGTGTACAAATGGTAAAACTTAACAAAGTATCAAACTAACAACTTAAGAGTTAGCCAAGCACCTCCTTGTGCTCAAATGATATGTAGTGACATCTCCCATATGGGAGGTCATGAGATTGAACCTCAGTGGAGGCGTTGATATAATAGAGTTAAGAACCATAAAAAAAAAATGGCGGTGGCTCGCCTGCTCGCGGGCCAGGAATGGGCGGTTTGGGCCAATAAAACCCAACCCGTATTGACAGCTCTAGGATCGATCGAAGGGGTCAAATGAGGGGCACGATTCGACCAGGGGGGTCGACCTGGGAGGTCAACCGTCGAGATGACCCGGGCGGGTCACGCGTGGGGCTTGATCCCGGGACTCCGGGTCTTTGATACTCCATTTCTTCAGATCGGTTCACCCCCATTTTCAATATGTCCATCACAACTATTTATAATTGAGTATTTTAATTATTAAAAAATAAAATTTAAATGAAATCAAATGAATAATTAAGAAGTAAAAAATAATTAACCTAGAGGGTATGGTTGAGTGAAAGGGACTCATTTATCCTTAATCAAAAATCAAAAGTTTGATCATTGACTTTGGGAATGGAACAGTCAAAAAAGCCAAAATAATGAGATTGACCTGGATTGATTATTTTTATCCCGTATGGGCCTAAGTCCAACCCTAAAATAATTGCACTGCACTAAAATATACTCCATATAATGTAAAAAATCTGTCACCATTTTTTATTTTTTTTTACATTATCCTTCATAATTTTAAAATAATATTACGAATAACTCTATTTTCTTACATTATCTTCCTTAATTTTAAATTGTCTACATGGGGTACAGATAGCATTCTCGTGTGGGATTGTCACACTAAATTACATTTTATTTTATTGTTTTTTATTAAAAAATTGTTTGAGGCAATTTCTTTTACAATTATTAAAAAGTGTGTTGAATTGTAGATATGTAGTGATGAATTAAAAATATAATCGTAAAGGTAAAAGTAAAAATTTGTGTGAGACGAATCGTGTCAATATTGTAATACTTAAATTAGTAAATGTAGTATTAAATCAGGAATAAAAATGTTTATTACTTATATGAGAAAATGTCATACTTATAAGGGAAAATATAATACTTTTGAAATTAATAATAATAATAAAAGGTATTACTTTTACATTAAAATATAAAAATATTACATTTTTGTCCCCAAAAGTATTATGTTTTTCTTTATAAGTAACAAATATTTTATTCTTGAGTTAGTATTATATTTGCTAATATAAGTATTATACTTTTGCATATTGACCCGACTTGACTCACGGATAAGGATTTGTAAAACGGTCTCATACAAGTGTGTTATAACATGGACCAGAGTCTACCTTGTATTATAGACTCTGGTCCAAAATGACATTTAATTTGTATATTATGTGTCTGTAATTAACATATTATGTGCTTTCAATTTATTTACAAACACATAATATATTAATTGAAGGCACATAATTTTTAGATGACACTCCAAATTGACCATAGACCATTGTATAAAAATTGAATGATACAACACTGGAGCCACTTTTGAAAGTGGTACGAATACTAATCGGTAAACCAGCAAAAATCCAATTTAATTTTGAAAAATATTCTATAATAGTTATTTATGGTGGTATAAATATCTTCTAGTCTTGATTTATCGATAAAAAATCACAAGGTCTCCGAAGAATTAGTCTGTCATTATACACCAAAACTACAAAAGTACTATTAAATACAAAATATCAAATTCAAAAATAAGTTTAAAATACTAAAAAAAAATAAAGAAGAAAAAATTAGTTTGACCCATAAATATGAGTTAATACCCAAAATCATCCTCGACTATAGTGGTTTTTCTCAATTTCGTCCTAAACGACTTTGGTGACCTAATATCGTCCCAGACTTTTGTGTTTCGCTCAATTTAGTCCTCCATTTGTTATTCCGTCAAATTGATGTTAAATAAAGGGACAATTCAGTAATGTCAATATTGATCTCTCTTTACTTTCAACTTGTGAAGTGTGAAATTCCTCTTTCTTGTACGAATTACACCCAGAATTACTCCCGGACCTGCAAATCAAATTTTATATTCGCAATTTTAGGAGTAATTCTGGGAGTAATTCGTAAAAAAAAAAAGGGATTTCGCAGTTCACATGTCTATGAGTAAAGAGATGTCAATATTAAAATTACTAAATTCTCTATTTATTTAACACCAAATGGACAGAATAACAAATGAGAGACTAAATTGAGCAAAAACACAAAAGTCTGGGACTAAATTGAGTGAAACACAAAAGTTTGGGACGATATTAGGTCACCAAAGTCGTTTAGGACGAAATTGAGAAAAACCACTATAGTCGAGGACGATTTTGGGTATTAACTCAATAATAAATAGGATAGATAAAATGAAAGATAGAGTATTAATTTTGTTTAGTTGTATAATTCTTATTCATTTCACTGTTACACCAAACATTCCATCCTTATCCGTGGGGAAGGAATATAGATAAATTGTGGTCTGTGGGCGCCAACTCTGTCTCAGGTAGTATTACTTTGGTTTAGGTGTATTATTATTATTAAATAACGAAGGAAATTTATAGTCACTATTTGAAGGTGTGTATTGATTGTTCACATGTAATAATTCACAAATTGTACAAGATAGATAAATTATACTAAAAGAATCAGTGTTGTAAGCTCGATTAAATAAAATGTTGGCAAGAATTGATATTGGCCCATTTTTGTAAAAAATTAACCTATAGGTTAATTTTGACTTATTTGATCACTATTAATTGTTTGATTTAGTTAAAATATTAATATAAATGTTTGGTTAATTAACTTTTTGCAACTCTAAAATTCAAAAAGCTACTACAAATAACTTTTTCAATTAGCTTTTTGAGAAAAGAATCATACATACCAAACAGCAACAGCTAATTTACAAAACATTTTTCTACAACCAGCTAATATTATCAACTATTTATACCATCTAATTAACACAATCAAACTAACAGCTATTTTACTAAACATATCCATTATATAACTCCATTGTCTTTCTCATCATTATCCATCTAACCACAGGTATTGGAATATGCTAGCTCAGTCAGCACTAATTATAATTCTTATTATTATTATTTCACAAAATTTTGTGTGAAACCAATTTCTGAAGGCTCTCATCTTCATACTGTTCTTGTTGATGATCTTAATTAATGAAGTTTACTTCCAAAAAAAAAAAAAAAAAAAAAAAGTAGGGCAAATGTAGAAACTTTAAACAAGAGGACAAACAACAGAAGTACAGTTTAAGGATGTTCCAGTCAAATAATAATAGTCAATTGGATTTCTACAATAGAACCAATCCAAAGCCCATATAAGATTGCAGCAAGCAAAAGTCACCCTAGGGGAAACAGAAGTAGGAAAAACAAGGGATATTTCACAATTTTCTATCAAAAGTGCATCTCGGTTTAATACTAATGTGTCGAAAACCAACAAAACGGTTCTACCTTATGGTACAACGAGTCGTAAACCATACCAGTTCCAAGCCGGATCGCCATTTCTTCTGTCATCGTGCCCCGAGCCCCCGAGGATTTCACGGTTCTTGATGAGTTCCAGAAGCTGTGACATCCTGAATACATCTCATGCCAATAACCGAGCATATTGGTAACAAGTTGCGTTTACCCATGAAGTAATGGCCGTTTAAGATTTTCTTAGTCGGTCTTCTACGTTCAATCCCACCTATAAGGCGGGATGAAAACCGAGGCTCACATTCGCTTCCACCCTATGCACGACTCTTCTAACACTCCAATCATGGCAAAACTCAAGTGCCAGCCGAAAAGCCGTTCCAAGGCCAAGCACGACTATTACACCTACACAACATTTGTCACCGAAACTTGACCAACTGCACTCTCGAAAAGATTTAGAAGCAAAAGAATAAAATCAAAAAGCGTGTACCTATTATAATGTTCACGGGTAGTGCAGAGACACCGAGAGTAAGGGATATCAGTAGATCCAATAAGAGACCACCAATAAGGATCGAGAATGCAACCCAAAGTGGACTGAAACACCCCTGCTTCAGAGATGAGTGAATTAGATAAAAGTACGGGTGAAACGCATATCCAGTTAACAGAACGGCCTTACCCTATTCCGTTCTGGTTCGATAGTTGTTCCTCCAAAAGACGGGTCAACCCTCCATACCCAGTAACTCGCCTGTCAACCAGAAGAAATATACGGCTATACATAATCTATGTCATTAAGATTTTATTTTTCTTTTCCCGGTAGAGAGGGAGGGGGAAACTTGAGTAATATTCTTCGCAAAATTAAAAATAAAAGTAAGCTAATCAGAAAGGAATTTGAAACCACATGTCCACATTCCACTATACTCTCAGAAAATCATTGATTTTTCTTTCAATATTCTATCCTGTAGAGGCTTGAGGATTTTGGTTAAACTACTTGATACTTATATTCAAATGTTCACTTTACAGTAATATACTAACGGAGTTAATTCCAATTTTTGGTCCTAGATTTATAGGTGACATTCCACTTTTAGTCTTTTTTTTTTCAGAACATGTTGGTCCTAGTATTATTGTGGCATGACCATTTTTGGTCCTCCGTCAACAAACCTGTTTAAATGACATTAAATATGAGGGCATTTCAGTCTATTTAGTTATAAGTGTTAATTCTTTTTTGGTCCTAGATTTATGTGTCATTCCACGGTTGCGGAGGCTCAAGTTGCAGAGGCCTTGCTGCGGATGTGCAAATTGCAATTGAAGAAGATAGGGGATTCTAGTCGTGAATTAGGAATTTTTTCAAAAAAATATAGCAGGTCAACCCGCTTTTTTTTTTTTTTCTCAACCTATTAAACCACAAAGACTCAACATCGCCTCTACTGAGACTCGATCTCATGATTTCCCATAGCAGATATTCGAAAAATATAGGTATTAACCTGCTATTAAGAGAAATTATGTATATTTGATGTGATTTAATTACCCTTTCAGTTACATTAGTGGCCTAATTTATCTCTCACGAGAATTTCATTTATTCAATTCTCCTCTTAGAAAATACGCAACCGCACGGAGAATTACAAAGTGCCACCTTTCATTTGGGATTGCGTGAGCAGATGCTACTGAGTGCTACTGAGTGGAGTGTGTTGCAGTTGCTGTCTCTACGACCGTCGTAAAGACAACAACTGCAACACACTCCACTCAGTAGCATCTGCTCACGTAATCCCCAAATGAAAGGTGGCACTTTGTAATTCTCCCGTGCGGTTGCGTATTTTCTGAGAGGAGAATTGAATAAATGAAATTCTCGTGAGAGATAAATTAGGCCACTAATGTAACTGAAAGGGTAATTAAATCACATCAAATATAAATAATTTCTCTTAATAGCAGGTTAATACCTATATTTTTTGAATACCTGCTATGGGAAATCATGAGATCGAGTCTCAGTAGAGGCGATGTTGACTCTTTGTGGTTTTTATAAAAAGACTGAAATACCCTCATATTTAACGTCATTTAAATAAGTTTGCTAACGAAGGACCAAAACTGGTCATGCCACAATAATACTAGATTACTAGGACCCACAGGGGATGTTCTGGGAAAAATAAAAAAAAAGGACTGAAAGTGGAATGATTCCTATAAATCTAGGACAAAAAATGAAATTAACTCTATACTAATGCATTCTCTTTCAAGTTTCATCGAAGTTTTAGCATAATCTACAGAAGACAAGCTGAGAGGATGAACCCAAATGCTTTAAACTACTCTAAATCTTCTATCCCTAGGGACTAAGCCTAACAAATTCTGGCTCTTAATCTCTTATACATACAGCGATTATTTATTTGATATGTATAAAAAGCTCCGAATAGTATACTCTAAACAAAAGCTAGGGCCAATAAGCTCTAGCCTATTGGCTAGAGGGAGAATCACTGACGTAAGTCAAGAGTTCAATCCCAACTTGTATATTTATGTGTGGGGTATGTTCGTCTCTTTAGTTAAGGGCGTTTAGTCCCCGAACTCTACTTAACAAACCTGATAACGACCATAAAATTTAACGAAGGCACTTACAGGGGCATTGGGCTCGGGGATTGCCACATTAGCTGCAACTTGCCTGCATTAAAATTGCAAGCTGAACTATCATAAAAGGGGGAAAAAATCCTGTTCTGGAACAAGAATAATTAAACAATTCTTGATCTTACCGGCATATCTCGCATTTATTTGAACCTCTTGTATTAAACCATGTGTCTATGCATGTTCGATGTGCTTTTGCAAGCCCACCACGACAATGGCATCCAAGTTCGATCAAATCCTCTTCCTTCTCCTGCTGGCATACCCTGGAAAATAGCACACGATATAATAAATTTCGTTTTTCATCGAGTTCAACGAGGATGGTTGATTCAAACTCAGGCCCTAACTGCACCACAAAAGCTAGCTCGTGAGTGAATCCTCGTTGATTTGTATTCTTCATTTCTCAGATTTCTCAGATATATGAATAGTGATCGAACGAACTTGCTCCCAAATCAAACTCACAGACAGTACATCAAACATTCTAATATACTTCAGCACAGATGAATCATGAATCATGAAAAAATGAAAACCTAAGTAGTTAGCAATCGAACCAACTCGAACAGACAACAGACAACAGACAACCTAGGTCAAAAATGTTTTGAGCAGTTCTAGTGGCAAGAATTGAAGATTGAAGGGCTAAAGATTAGATTTTTATACCTGCATTGTTCATGAGAACTTGAATTCCTAGATAAGTGACTCTTCTGGGGAGACGACTCAACACACCCTTTCTCTCCCTCCTCACAATCAGCCGAATCGCCGGCAGAAATCACTATGGCAAGCAAAGATTGATCGGTGCTTTCATTAGCATAGCCATTGTTTCCGGCCTCCAAACACGGCTTCTCAGTCACCGCAGCGGCGCCACCGTCTCCCACCGCATCACCGCCGCCCCTCATTTCTTAGCACCCAAAAAACCAAAAAATCACAAAAGCCCACCGCCGCCTGCTTCTTATCGCGCCAACCACCACCGATCAATTCCTCTAATCACGCTAGTTTCCGATGAAAACTAATCTGAACCCAAAATAAGTAACAGTAATTTAGTTCAAGAAAAAGCAGAACCCCAGAAAGGAAAAGCGCGTAAGCATAAACTCCAATCCACTGACAATAGCAAGCGAAAAATTGAGAAGAGATCGAACCTTGAACACAATTATCCAAAGGCAAAGAAGAGAATCCGAGGGTCATCTTCTATTCTTCTTCCTGTTCTTGGAGTATTTGAAGACTAATTTCCTTTTTCTCTGCTACTTTTACTTTAAGTAATTGGAATGATAAACATAATTATCGTAGTGATTAGGAGCTTCTACGCAACATTCTACGACGGTGATAGAGACAGCAACTGGAACACACTCCACTCAGTAGCATCTGCTCACGCAATCCCCAAATGAAAGATGGCACTTTGTAATTCTCCCGTGCAGTTGCGTATTTTCTGATAGGAGAATTGAATAAATGAAATTCTCCTAGAGATAAATTAGGTCGCTAATGTAACTGAAAGGATAATTAAATCACATCAAATCAAATATACATAATTTCTCTTAATAGCAGGTTAACACTTATATCTTTCGAATATCTGCTATGAAAGATCATGAGATCGAGTCTCTAGACGATATTGATTCTTTGTGTGTTTTAATAGGTTGAGAAAATATGTATGAACAGATAGTACAATATAATAAAGTCAGTAGCATCCAAAAAAAAAACACTGTAATTTATGTTTTGATCTCGCCACCTCGATCAGTTAATTAAGAACATAATTCAAGCATCAAGATTAATTATATTAAGATCACAATTCAAACATCAAAATTAATTGTACTCTATCATGAATTTTAAGGTAATTATATTCTAAATAAAATTTAAAGTTTACATTGGTACTATAAAGTCATTTAAACCAACATGGTTGGCGTGGTGGTTCAGCACCTCGTCCTTTAAACATGAGGTTGGTGGTTCGATCCCTACCCATGTGAATGGAGCAAACCATTTGGCCAGTCCCTTACCACTTAGTGTGCTAACCGTAGGGACGGGGGATTAGTCTTCTAGCTTTCGGCTGGAGGGATACCTTTGGGCAACCAAAAAAAATAAACTCATTTAAATTTTGACAAATAAATCCTTTCAAAAAAAATTTAACAATAAATTAATTAATTAATCTCCAATTATAAGTTGATTAATTATAATCTCAATGATTACAAACATAATCCAACTAATACCATATTGTTGAATAAAATAATATAAATGCAAGTAAGGAGAAGAAGGAATAGAGATTGGAGAGGGAAGGCAGATCATCTCATCTGTTTCTACATATTACAACAATATATATAATATACACATGTAACGGAAAGCAATAATGATAAACATAAATATTTAACCGTTACACAATCAGTTCTCATAAAGTCCACAATAATTAATCTTTATAACACTCCCTCTTGGACATTATCTTCTCACATTCATGCCTCGTTAAAAATTTGCTAGAAAAATCCTGTGGGAAAAACTTAGACAAAAGGAGTATATATATATATATATATATATATATATATATATATATATATATTCATGCCTCATTAAAAATTTCACTAGGAAAATCACGTGGAAAAAATATAGTTGAAGAAAATAGTACATGATATTTGTAAAATCATATATTGTACCAATTGTCTCATTAAAAACCTTACCTTAAGAAAAATCATGTGAAAAAAACTTAGCTAAGAAGAAAAGAGTACAATCATAAGCCTTCAGGGCACAATCGGTGTATAAATATTTAACCGTTACACAATCAATCCTCATAATGTCCACAACAATTAATCTTTATAACACATACAGAGTATTTTAATTTTTTTTAATAATACTAATAAGTTCTGAAAAAAACAGCTCAAAGGTTGAAATTGTCTTTTCAGACTTAAATTATTTGGTCAAAGATTGTGTTACATTAACACATGTTTTAAAACTTTTTTTAATAAGTGATGAGATGGGATCATGGGACCAGTAGTATTAGCTTTTTTAAAAGTTGAGGTTATCAATTTATCGTAATATCACATTAAAAATGAGTGCAATATAAGTACAAAAATATCAGATTTTATCTTAATGTCACATTATGTATTATCATTCTAATTGTTTTTTTTTTTTATCGAAATTGAGCATACAATTTATTAATTCATGATGGATAATTTTGTTTTTAAAGTCTTTATTTTGTTACTTGTCAAAGCGTTTGTGATCGATTATTTTAATTATTATTATAATTCAAATGCGTTTTGAAAATTCCGTAACATTTAATTGAGATGACAAGATTTGATGTCAATTAGTCAAATCATGTTACATGTATTTATTTTTGCATTCAAATTCGAATTCAATGTTAACATGACCGATAAAATTGGTTAGATTAGCTGTATCTTTGAAAGAAATTACTCTTTCAATTTGACATGATATGTTTTACGTTATTCATATTTTTAGGCCTACGTGGATTGTAATTTTTGCAAATTTTGTAAATTTAGTAAACGGTTGAGCAAATTGTTAAGGTGATATGAAAGTAAGATTAAGTTTTAAAATGAGTTGAAAGTACATTAATATTTAAAAAAATAGTGAGTGAAATTCAAATATGATGATCATATAGTATAATCCACTTTTAAAAGTAAGAAAGTATTACAAAAATGTAGATAACTGTACTTTAGTATCATCTTCACTAGTGTGCTAGGCTTGGAGAATGGTGGGGTTTTGGAATAATGCTAAAGGGCTAGTAATAGATGGGTTTGGAGAGGCAAGCCATCAACTAAGGTTCAACGAAGCGGTCAATTAGGCGCTAGTCATGTGACGATTTATTGGGATGCAAAAAATTGTGCGTTTAAGTTATTAGATGGGCGAGATATATGTGAATAGGGGTGAGTCATATCTTTTATGTGAAGACATAAAACAAAATTAGTTATTACACACACTACTTATGAGTACATACAAGCAAATGCTTTGAATGTGATGTTTTGTTTTCCACACTCTCTACTTCACTAGAAGGGCTATCAATAACTTTGTTCATTATATTATACAATTCATTAATTACCTTTTACAATAGTACATATACAACTCCATTGCGATGGAGCATTCACAACTCATGCATATGAAGTGACACATATAAATAAGTAAGGGAGTTTGATTTGGTTTAGTAAAAAAAAAAAAAATCTTAATTTTTATCAATGTGGTTTCATGTAAAAATCCCTTCCATCATTCCGTTTACATCCTTACTCCACAATGACAATAATCCAATTTGTGTTGGGTGTGAAGAAAAAAATAGAAAAAAAAAAAAGAAAAAAGAAAACCGTTACAATTCATCTTGCCAAAAATTGAAGAAAAAAATAGCAAGAAAAAGAAAACCGTTACAATTCATCTTGCCAAAGGCCCCATTTAAAATTCAAACTATAGCAAATTATTGATATATACCATCAAGAGCAAACCAATAAATGCTCTTCTATGATGATTCACATGCCATATATAAAACAGAAGATAACAATATGTTAAAAAAAATCAATCGTCAATGACAATTAGTACAATCCTCATACAATGTATATATGGAGTAGTGAGCACGACAAGAAAATTTATCACAATATTCTATATTTTTTCAATTATGCTCTAAAAATTCAAGTATCAATTGGATACACAGATATATCTCCCTCTTTAAATCGGGATAGTAAAAATTATCCACAAAGATACTCACTTATCTAGGCAATATTATACGTTAAAAGACAGTTTTCATTCTTTCAAAATGCTGAACCCCATAAAAGACAGTTTTCATGAATATATGACTAGTTGCACAGAGTAATAATTTATCACATAAATATATGTATTTGTAAATATTTTTAGAAAATAAAAATACTTAGCTCTCCCATAATGTTAATTGTTTGGCAATTTTCTTGTCATTGCAAGATCATTTAGTAGCATATTATTCAATTTTGTTGGTTTTATTATCCAGTTTCGTTGTGTGATCATGTGGGCATAAAAATATCTATACGTGTTATGAAACATAATACACTGAAATACAGAAGATACATACACTGACCTATACCCAAGATATTTGTACCCCATCAAAATAGGTCCCTTAGTTAGGTTGGATTTTTGCAATATTTGACTTACATATAGTAATGGGTCAAAATATATACCCCATCAAATATTTGCAATAGGTCCCTTAGGTTGGATTTTTTTTTTTTTTTAATAGCTTATGTGAAATAAATCCAACCTAAACTTTCTTAGTTTGAAAGCTTTAAGCCAGTACAAAAAGTTGTCATCCGGCAACATTTTTGTACTTTTTTATTTTTGTTATTTATTCATTATTATATTATTATTTTTTACTATAATATAACATTATGTAAAAATGCTTGAAAGCAAGATAATATTGCCATGATTGTAGAGAAAATAAGAAATGAATTATAAATTTGATGATGTGGAAGTATAACACAGTAAGAGAATATTGTAGGGATAATAAAGATAGTCATAAGAAATAAATTTTAGTTATTTATTTATTTTAGTATCCTAAAATATATTTGAAAAATTATTGAAAAAATAAATAGTTTTTAATTTCCTCATAATTATTTATTAAAGTACATGTACAAACAAAAAAAAAAATGCTAATACTTATTGAAGAACAAATTCTATGTTTAAATTTTACATAAATGGGCGGCTAACTTTAAAGCAAATGGAGAATGTATAACAAAAATGAGTTGACACATCATTCTGCAAGTAGTCCGCGTGGGCAACTCAGTTGATCACAAGAGTGAAGTTTAAAAACAATGACTTGAGATCGAGTCTTACAAGTAACAGTGTAAGAGCAACCTCTCAAAGTAAAGGGGCTCCTTGTGCGCATATGCTCTGTCAAAGCGGGGTGTGAGGACCCGGAGATGGAAGAAGAAATTTAGTAATTTAAACAACTTCTCTATTTCTTTTTTCCACTTCTCAATTTCTCCATTTTTTTTGAAAAATCCTCTATTTTTTCAAGTTGGTGAACGAACTCTTAATGTTTTGGAAACAACAATCAGCAAGTAATTAAATAATAAAATTCTTTTTTTTTTCTCCCTAAATTAATTAATGAATTTAATGAGATTCATTAGTAGGGGAAAACGGGAAAGAATAAATGGACAGTTTCCTAACTGTTCAATATTATTGGTGTCAGTTTATAGATGGACTGACCAATGCAACAACCTACCACTGTCACTCCCTACCATGAAAGAGATATCCGAAAACGACTAATCACATTCAAACAAATAAAACATTCATTGTCTATATATAGTTTGATTAAAGTTTGCATATATTCCAAGCTAATGCAATTATATATGAGTTCATAAATTCAAATATGATGTATTATGTTAAAGAGTTTTGCATTAAATTTTCTCTTGAGCGTGAAGACGAGAACTTTTCCATATGATTTTCCTGGAGTAGATGCTCCCTGAAGTCAAATTTT